TTTGCCATTTGGTAAATATTAAAGAAAAATAATTGTTGGGCATTCAAACACCCTGCAGTATTAAGTGTTACCAAGGTGGAAAAGAAAGAAAAAATTATGACCCCTTCCCCCACAAATTTTATAATAAATGAATTATTGACTCTCTACAGTGTACACTTAAATATATTAAACAAAATATGAAATAAGAGTTTAGGTACTTGGTTTAACCTTTAGAACACTGCATTATTAATATTACTTTCTTTTCCACTGCACACTTTCTCAATTACAGTAACCTTACTGTTAATCTCACTCAAAGGTGTTTTTTGTTGCCATAGCAGGATATGACAACACAATTATGAAATTCAAGCAAATTCAAAAAGTGATAGGATAAACATTTTGCACAGCAAATAAAATCACACACAGAGTGATAAAGGTTAATTTTCAAACTAAATTCTTACCAGAACCACAATATCCCTGTGTTTTTTTTGTTTCTTTTTTTTTCTTCTTTTTTTTTTCTGTTTTTTTTTTTTTTTTTTTTTTTTTCTTTTTTTTTTCTGTTTCTTTTTTTTTCTTTTTTTTTTTTTTAAGTTTTACTTTGTTTTAACTACCTGACAAACTCCAAATTCAAAACAGAACACAGTGGTGAATATAAAACAAAAATAGAACATCACAATTAAAAGAAAAGGAAAAAAAAAGAAATTTTGAATTTCTATATAAAGAGTACATATACAAAATTTCCAATCTTTTTTGTGTCTCCAGAAATTCATTTGTTAGGAGGTTTAAATTTTTCACAGATTAAAAGTATTAAAAAGGCTATCAAGAGTTCCAAGATAGGAAGACTGATAAATATTTTGAACCAGAACAGCAGACTAAATTGTAAAAGAAAAGGCTTTGTTCTCATTGCTCTGAGAGTTTTGAGGATCATGTAAAAATGAAGAAAGCCTGAGAGATAAAAGCATATTAAATAATGGTATATAAGGTGTGTGCGAAAACTTGCAGCAATTTTTAAAAAATGTTTTAATTAAAAAATGGTTTTCAACTTTTTTCTGGTTTTCAAAAAAAAAAGATCAGGCATTGAGAAATTTTGCACCCACCTAATAATGTGTGTGTGTGCTCAGTTTATATAATGATGTTAAGAGAAAAATGGCAGTAATACATAGGCTTCAAAAAGCATCACAATATGCAGTTGTACCTGAGGAAATCTGACAAAGACTTCAGAACAATTAAAATATTGTGCTTGGAGAAGACAGGGGCAGGCAACTCCGTAAAAAATATATTCACTCATGCAATAATCTGGAATAAGTTTTGTTTGTTTAAAATTCATTTTCTTTTGAGGTTATTAGCATTTCTTACATTGTAAGAAAATGGAAAAAAGTAAGTCATGCAAACTATTGTAATTTTAATTTTTTATTTTAATCAGTGTTGCTTTGATGGAAAGATTATTTTTATATTTAATCTGTTTTTATGCCATTAGTGAATGTTAGAAATCATTTTGCAAGAATTAATGTTAAAATTAAAAATGTTTTTTTATTTTTTATTTAATTTTTTTTTTTAGAAAGGACATCCATGTCTGAAATATAAAAAATTCAAATAATGTATCAATTTTATTGAGGAAAAAAAAGATTAATGAAATGTATCATTACTGTGTGTTGTTAGTTTTTTTTTTGCTTTTTTTGCTATTATAAGTTCTTTTAGACATGTCTGCTAATTTTTGTTTTCCTTATTGCAAAATTGTGGCTATTCTGACCTTCCTCAGGTATTGACTGTGTTAACTATGTTCATAAGGAGTGAACTCTTCATCTTTGGCTAACAAATAATGTGTAATTACTCTGTTTCATCTGCTAATTAAAAATGAGCCCACCCTTTCCCATAAGAACTTCTAACAATTTGTTCAGAGGGGAGAAAAATGAATTTTCCTCTGGAATCTATGCTGGATAGTTTCACAGGTTGAACAGACTTTAGTCAGTAACTTCCAGCAAATAGTGTAGATAACAGAGAAAGACAGGAGGCTAAAATGGTCGCCATTTTATAATGATGTATCGTGTTAGAATTCCAATTCTTTAATCCAAATGGAAGTGCTTACTTCAAAATCCACATATGACAAAATCAGACCTTTTGTCTGACTCCATGCACTGACTTCTAGAATACCATCCAAAAAATATCAGTTTCATAAAACATCTTTACTGACCAATCAAAATTAATGGCATGTTTTTTTTTTTTTTTTTGATTGGCCAGAAAAGATGTTTTATGACACTGTTATTTTTGGATGGCATTCTGGAAGTGAATGCATAGAGACAAAAGTAAATTAGGCCTGTTTTTGTCATATGAGATGTGGATGTTGAAATTAGCACTTCTGTTTGAATTAAAGACCTGGATTTCAGACATGGGATAAAAACAGCAAAAATGTGAAAACAGACATGAAAGAATGTACAATAGTAATAACATCTAATTTTATGAATTCAGACGAAAAATGTCTTTATAAAAATAATAATTATTATGACTTTGGACAAAAAAAAAAAAAAAAAAACTTTCCCTGTCATAAGAATGTTTATAATAAAAGCAAATATAAATACATATTTTTGCCAGAAGTACATCAGTATTGATAATAATGTTTTTAGAATATTCAACAATATAGTCTAACAACATATTTTGACATAATTTAGAAGAATAATTTCACTATACAGTAATAATTTTAAGACAATATAAATTTTGATGTCCAAGAAATTTTTAGTGAACTTGGACCTTAATGTCTGCAAAACAAGTGCAAAAAGGATGATTTTTCTCTTGGCACCTGTTATTTTAACTACCTCCACTCCTCAGCAATGTTTATTGCTTTGAAAAGTGATGATTAAAATTGTAATAAAGCCTAAACATATGATGAAAGTGAATTTATATATTATTTTTGTTCTCGAAGAATTTTCAACAAAAATATTAAACACTGTTAGATTATTTATTTACAAGAATAATTTTTATACTTACAATACTCTAAAAACTAATACAATACAGTATTTATCATTTACTGATTTATAAAGAAATAAATGTGAAAAAAAAATTTTATTCATCAATTTGTAAACATTTATTAAATTATTAAAATATGTGAACCAACTATAAAGAAATCTTTATTTACCATTTTATAAAGTTTGAATTTATTGTTAATTAACCAATGTTTTGTCAACCATTCCAATAAAAAATATAATAAATAGTATAAATAAACAATCTAATAAATAAAGTTTATTATTTTTTATTCTCAAGAACAAAGAAAATGTGCAGATTCATTTTCATATGTTTGGGTTTCATTACAATTCTAATTGCTTTTTAAAACCATAAACATTGCTGAGGAGTGAAGGTAGTTAAGATAATAATGGTGTGTAATGGAAAAACAGTCCTTTTGACACTTTTTTTTTTGTGGACACAAAGGTCCAAATTTGCTAAATTTTTCATTTTACAATATTAATAACATTGAAGATAATTATGCATCTTCCAAATTTAATTTTTTTTTTTTCTTCAAAATTTGAACGAGGATAATGCATTTTTTTTTTTCTGTCCACATAAATTATAAATTGTTCGCTTACACTTTTATAAGAATACTGAAGAACACTGACTTTAAATTTTGTCTGGGGTTGGGGGGAGGAATATGTTAAGTAAAAGTGAGGTGACCACAGACAAAAAACAGAAGAAACATGTTCCATATATTTTTGGAAATAGTTTTTCTTGTTTTTTTTTGTATAGGAAAATGCCAAAAAATATATACAAATTTTATTGTACGAGTTATTTGTTCATTTAGACAGTATTTTGTCATTTAAAATTTTTTTTTTAATATATGTATATATATGAAATTGCCTGCACCATTACCAGAGGATAAAACATGGCTTGAATACATTCCATAAGTTTATTCATATGAAAACAATATCCATGTATCTTTTTTTATATATTGGACAATTTTAATCCCCAAATGATAAATGTATCAGTTGAAAAGAGGGTTGAATGAATGTTTTGAGTGTCCAAATATCAAGGTTTGGCTTCAGGGGAGAAAAAAAAAATTCAAATACTTTTTAAGACATTTTTTTGAGAGGTTTGAACAAAGAAAATTTTAATGATACTGTTTAATTTTTTTTTTTTAATCAGTGTTGCTTCTTGATCAGATTAGCTTTTGTAATTAAATAAAATCAGAAAGAAATCAAAATATTTCAAACTGCTTGCTCATTAAGCTGTTAATTTGACAAGCTTCTGAAATGTGGAGATTAAGAAAAAAATACTTGCAGATCTTATTAAAGGTAGAAATGTTAATTCTAGGAAAAAGAAAGAACATAACTAAAAGGAACAAAAAGAGAAAGCAACTGACGTAGTTTAGTGTTAAAAAGGGAGAAATAATAATAAAAGAAAATAACAGAATGAATTAACCGGTTATCGCTCCACACATATCTGAACTCAGTTGAGGAAAGTAAGATTTTTGTGCACAACTGACTAAAAAAGGAAACATATAAAAGAAAATAGATGCATATCAATAATATGCTGAGATGGGTATATTTTTATAAACAAATCACATTCAGTCTCATCAACCATTCCTTCTGTTTATTTTCTTCGATCGATTTCTGACGAGTGTGGAGTGATAACCAGGTTAACTTCTTTTTGTTATTTTCATTTACTATTATTAATTTTTTTTTTCTGTTTTTTGCATTAAACTCCTGTAGTTATTTTTCCATTTTTGTCTAATCATGTCCTTTTTGCTATAGGAAAAAAAAAAAAAATTAAGATATTAACCTGAACTAATAGTCTGACCTTTTGAGGTCTCTTCAAATTTGTCAAAACATCTCGAATTTTATTCCAAAATTGTCAGTCATACCAAACGACAATGTTTTGCTCTTTGGAATTTTGTTCTGCACAGCTTCAAACAAGTAGATATATAAGTGAAGATTTTGTTATATAATCGTACATTGCTTAGCATGCCACAAAAATGACTAAAGAATGCAAATCGATTCTTCAAGAGAATACCAAAAAGTCAAACTTGAATCTTCAAAAGTTTATAATGGATTGTTTTGGTCAAGAGAAGTTTGGTGATCAAGTCGTGATAATGGAGGCTGGTGTTCAATATTGACCACTGTTGAATGCATATGGCTGCAATGGGGTATTTCTTCAATGCAGCCTTCGTATGTGCAAATGCTGCCCTGGTGCTGTAGATGTGGACGCACATGATGGATGTGAGGGACATATGTTGCCTGTGTCTGGACATATCCCGCCTGAGGGGGTGTAGTAGATAAATAAAAGCACTGGTTGCCATTTGTATAGCCTTCATTCAAGCTTTGCCGGTGATGTTTTACAGCTTGCTCATGAAATGATACAGGCACTTCAACGATAATGCTGTCCTGATCTGAGAATGGATCATCTTGGACTTGAAGTGTTGTGTCACTCATCTCTAAGTGATCATCGTGCAGGTTAGATGTCATGCTGTCATATTTACCCGTGTCTGCAGGTCCTTTTCTCCGTCTCATGACAGTTGGGCAACGAGCGACCAAGACCATGAGTACAATCAGAGATAGCGCCAACATGGCACCAATGCTGCTACCCACGGAAACAGGCAGATGCCAACTTGTGGTTGATGCCCCAGTGCATTGTTGTCGGGTTTGTCCCTGTTGTGTGTCATTCCGATACATCACAACACACACTTTGTAGAAGGTGTCGGCGACTAGATTTCGAATTTTGTAACTTGTTGTCAGTGATGAAAGCATAGCACTGTATTGGATGTATGAGCTGGCTACCTTTTGGAAGTGAACCTGAAACCCTGTTATTTGTGATGTGGCGTCTTCCTTGATGCTCCATGTCAGGTGGATAGAACTGTCAGTTGTGGAATCGACCCTCACATGGTGAAGATACTGCATAGCAGCAGCAGCAGTAGTTGTGCTGACCATCTTGGGAGATTTTGCTTGTATTCTGGCAATAAAATCTAGAAAAAGAAAAAATAAAGTATTTCAGTAAGACAGATTCAAGAAAGCCAGCTGCCTATATACATTGAACAAGTCAGCAGTCACCAGAGAAATTTTGCTTGTTTATGGTAACATAAAAGGAAGTTCTTTGACTACACAAAAAGGCTATAAAAAACATAACATTGTTAATGGTGTAGAGAGTAGGTAATTTCTCATGATCAATTCTATATGATGCTGACATCCACTATATTTATGTGGGTGTGTGCATGCGCGTATATATATATATATATATATATATATATATATATATAGTGCCACAAACAAAAAAATTATTTGAAACAATTTGAATTTTTGAAAAATTATTTAAAATCACTATTTTTTTAAAAACATTTTTTGTCTTTCAAACTTAATTTAATTGGTATAATTAATTCAAATATTACAGACAACAATAATAAAATGAACAAATCTTAACACACAATTTTAAATCAACACCATGAGATGTGAATTTCATAATGCTTAATGGTCTGTGAGTATCCTTCATGTGAAGATTACATGAAGATATGCATGAAACTCCAGGTTGTGCTATCAGCATGGGATATCATATATATTCATTAATATATACTTAACTCTTTTATATAATATTAAGCACTGTTTTATAACACCTGTGAAAATATATATAACCTCTATCCCTGATATTGAGCACTTTTAAGTACTGTTCATATATAATATATATAAAAATTGCATATATATATATATATATATATATATATATATATATATATATATTAATTAAATATAATTATCAAATTCTCCTACTAATTACTATCTGTGTTTATCACCGCTTGAACCGGCTTCTAATGCTCCAGTTGGTAGCAGCTTGGTGAGAGTAGTCGTGGCTCCAGGGGGCACAGTCCTATGGTTACAGAGAACTCAGTTGAGTTCCGCCATGGAATATGTGAGCGAGCGGCGCTAAGTTGAGTCTGATTTGGAATCTCTTCGTCACCGAGGCCCATTTAAAACAGTTGGTATGATGTTCGCTTGACAACCTGTCAGGGTTTCAATTCTCAGTAGTGGATGCGCACTGCTGATGAGTTCCAAATATAGGACGAAACGGCCGTCCAGTGCTTTCTGCATTCTGTTGAGGTTTCTATCAGACTCGATGAATATTAGAATTAACTATTAATATAATTATAAATATATGAATATTAGAATTAACTATTAATATAATTATCAAATCCTCCTACTAATTACTATCTGTGTATGTATGTGTATATATATATATATATATACACACACACACATTTTATTTATATATGTATATATGTGCAGGTATATGTGCATATACGTTTTTTATCATACCCATATCTCTCTCTCATATATATATATATTATATATATATAATATCCAATGTCAATACCACAATTAAGAGTTTCAATGAGTTCTCACAATCTTCAGGTGCAATATGTTCAATCCATTATGGAGTTTACCTTCTTGTGGTGATGATTCAAAATTGTGTTTTAAAACTTGCTTGTTTAATTATTTTTGCGTAAAATACTAGAATTAACTATTAATAATTTATGTACCATTCAAATTCTTAAGTTTGAAAAGCGAAGAATTAAAAAAGTAAAAAAAAAAAAAATAAAATTATTGAAATTTGGTTTCAAAAGTAAACAATATATCAAGGGGTATAACTCTCTATTTTTACATAAAATACCCTAGTTATAGCAATTAACTTAAACTAGAACACAGGGTAGAAATACAAGGGTATAAAAATAGATGGGTATCCCCCTTGATATATTGTTACTTTTGAATCCAAATTTAAATAATTTTTTTTTTTATATTTACTTATTTTTTTTATTCTTCGCCTTTCAAACTTAAGAGTTAATTCTAATATTTTACGCAACAATAATTTAAAATGTTTCAAAACACAATTTTGAATTGCCACCATGAGAACGTGAACTCCGTAATAGTTAGAACATACTTGCACCTGAAGATTGCAAGAACTGCATGAAACTCAGTCATGCTATCGACATTCGATATTATGTATATTCACTAATCTATACTTGTAGCTCTGTTTCATAACACTGAGTACTGTATATATAACACCTGAGGAAGAAATATATTTATACTTACTCGCAAGTATAAGTATGTGTATATAGACTTCTTATCCTACCAATTCTTTTATATTTATCATTCTGATGAGATGAACATCTCGGTGTTCATGAAATAAAAATTATAAACAAAATGAATAATTAATGTCTCTGTCTTCTTAGTATCATTATAATGCTCTGCTGTCTACATTGAGCTCTCCCTGGATTTATATCCTCCTTGGAATTATCCCTCCCAGTCACAAACTGGTAAAACGTATAATTATAATTATATTCTTTAACACTTAATTGATATTTTTAATTTGACTATATTTCCTATTGCTATAAATGCTGTATCTTATTGCTATATTGGTTACACATATCTATTAGACTTATTGTTACATTGGTTACACTTATCTATTAGACTTATTGCTATATTGGTTGCACTTATCTTATTGCTATATTGGTTGCACTTATCTTATTGCTATATTGGTTGCACTTATCTTATTGCTATATTGGTTGCACTTATCTTATTGCTATATTGGTTGCACTTATCTTATTGCTATATTGGTTGCACTTATTGCTATATTGGTTGCACTTATCTTATTGCTATATTGGTTGCACTTATTGCTATATTGGTTGCACTTATTGCTATATTGGTTGCACTTATTGCTATATTGGTTGCACTTATTGCTATATTGGTTGCACATATCTATTAGGCTTGTTGGTTACACATATCTATTAGACTTATCTTATTGCTATTTTGGTTACACATGCAAAATAGATACAGTCAAGTGGTCATAGCCTTCTAATACTGAGGTAAGAAAAACAAAAATGTGGGTACCAGACTGAGAATTACTCGTTTTTGGTCGCTACAAAGAAATAGCAATGAAAAAATGTTTTCTAGCCTTGGTTGGCAACCAGTCTCAGAGAAGGGCAACTCTGAATTCAAAACCAATCAGAAGTAGGATGGGTGTTGTCAGCTAATATTGTACAGTGATTGGCCATTGTTAATTTTAATTGACAAAATTATCAAACAATGATACAAGAAAAAAATGACAGAGTAAAATAATATCTGACTAATATATATAAGTCAAAGGCATAGTAACTTTTAGAAAATAATAAAGCAAAAAGCAGTTTGCAAAGAATAGTGTTTACATGCCAAAGGGAGATAGTCGAATGGTCATAGCCTTCTGACTTCAGGATAAGTAAGAACAAAAATATTGGAGTAAGACCAAGGATTGTCAATTTTTTTTATTGGTTGAGAAGAAATCTCAGCATGCATCTGTAGGATTTGTCTATAAATTTGGTGAGGGAAGGTCTTTAGCAGACATTCAACCAGATTGTATCCAACAGTTCAGCTGAAATCAAAGTTGCTTTTTTGCACAATAAATATCATCTTTGTTGGTGGTAAAGTTTGCTAATTCAGAAATTCAAACATGGCCAACAATCAGTTTTTCATAATGCATAAACATGTTTCTTCTTCAGTAAATAAATATCAATTTTGGGATGAGCAGCAAATTACTGAAAAGAAGCAGCACAAAACAACCTTCAAAATAGAATAAAAAAATGAAGAAGTGGAATAAATTATTCCAGTCCTGGATGTCTTATCTTTGCACTGATTTACACTGTTGAGAAGAAATCATGTCTTGGGGTGAAATCTCAGAATATAGCAATTTGAAATTTTCTCAAATTCTTAAATAAAATATTGACAATATTTCCCGAGGGATCTTGAATTTTACCACAAAGAGAATGAATAATCAGAAATTTTGTGAATATAGCACCAAAGATGATGATAGTTTGAACAATAAATAGAATATCAACAACATTTTATTTCAGGACAAACTCACTCTTTGGAAATTGCATCAACTGAAAAATGTTGGTCAAAACAATATTGTACAATAATAAAATCTATTAAGTTGGGCAAAAAGTTGATTATTGTACTTTTGTTGCAAGAAGGCTTTAGGAGTGTTTAGTTTATTAAGAATGATTGCTTTACATTGTTTTGTGGTAGTGGTCATATTAATGTTAGTACAATGACTTCATGAATTAAGCAAAGTTCTAGATTGGTAGCTAGGTATCACCATTTTACTGTTGAAATTGTTAAATGTAGATGTAAGTTATATTTCAATAATTTCTACTTTTGCACTTCTAAGCTATGGAACTCTTTTCTGGTTTCTTCAATAGAGAAATATTACATCGTCATTATAATTGCTTTATTTACATTGATAGATATAATATCTTGAATTTTTATTAAATTGTCAACCATTATTAATTTTTGTCTAGTATTTCTTACATCTTCATTTTACTTGGCTTTATTTACACTTGTAGTAATATTATCTTGAATTTTTATTAGATAAAGCATTGTCAACCATTATTCATTTTAGATGAAGCATTGTCAGCCATTATTCATTTTTGACTAGTATTTCTTTCATCTTCTTTATAACTGCATTATTGCTGTATCTTTAAAGAGGTTACAAACAGACAAAGGGGGTTCTTGAGTGAAGGAACTGCAACACATGCATAGATGAGAGAAAGAGAATACACTACTGAAAGACAGGGAATTGGGTGGCAGGCTAGTAATTCCCGAAGTAGGCCCCCAGGTATAACCTGTGCTCACTATATATATCTACTGATGTAGTCAGTCCACATAGGTGAAAGGGAGTTTGGGTCATTACATTACAACAGTTATTTACACCTGTAGTAATATTATCTAGAATTTTTATTAAATGAAACATTGTCAGCCATTATTAATTTTTGACTAGTATTTCTTTCATCTTCATTTTAATTACTTTATTTTCACTTGTAGTAATATTACCTTGGTTTTTTTATTAGATGGAGCATTGCCAACAATTTTGCTTTTTTTTGATTTCTATGAAACATTGTCAGATATTCATT